TATTTTCCACATACTGTACATTATTGTTTCTCCTCTATGCCCCGCCTTTTTGAAACGTGTCGATTTTTACAAAGCTCATCGGTCTGAAAAATCGAGGTGTGCTGTGATTGGCCAGCTATCCAATGTATTGTGATTGGCCGAATACCTCAAGCGTGAGACGGAAATGTTACGCCCCTCACTTACTGTTGATGCCGTGTCCGGCCGGAGCGACGAGGCATAAACATTAAAACCCATTACAAACGAGGCATTTGTTGCATCCAGTGGGGACATAATTACTGATTATAATGACTTATACTGTCTTTTTACGCGTTGCGTTGCATCGCGCCGCGTAAACATAAAACCATGTCTGCATTTGTGATCGGAGAAATGACAAACAACAAGTGCTACTCTACTGCCCAAAACTCGCGTCAGTGGCAACAGTGGCAACGAAAAACACAGTGGCCTAGCGTGAGGGGAAGCCCCAGCTTAGCATGCGCTATAGAGTGAGTAGAGTGAGCTGAGGCGGGCTGGACTCCGCTTTGTCCACGGTGAAAGTTGATGTATTTCCTCAGCGACCAGCACAGATCAGCTCTAGGCATAACGAAGCGGATATCGTCCTCTTTTGAAAGACCAAACAAAGTAGTTTCACTGAATTGATGCTTGAAGAATGCGCTTCCAGCAGCCATGATAAACAGTTGGCGGTTAAAGTTTTCTAATTTGATTTGACTTACCAGAGGCGTCATGCCCATTCAAAGTGAGGGGGCACGTGCCCCCTCAGATTTCTGAGCAAAGTGCATTTTGAATGCAGCTTCCAAAAGACAAAAATAATTATAAAGAATATCTCTTTGGTTTTGAGACTTTAGTGTTTGCAACTTTACAGATCTTCTTTATGCACCAAGAGCTTGTAACACTCCAAAGAGAAAGGAACAATTGAAATCGCATCATATGACCCCTTTAAGCTACTCAAAAAAGTACAATTACCGATAAAAACTACTTAATTACTGTAACGTGAGTATTTGTAATTCGTTACTTCACACCCCTGCTGTTAAGCTAACAAAACTCAACTGCAGATCTCACCCATTGTGCCTCAGAAACCCATCTGCATCTCAGAAAACATCCATGCCCAGTACAATAAAAACACTATTCCCTAAGCATTTCATAACCACACTAAAGTAAGCCTCTTCTTGCCAACAAACCATCTGCCAAATGTCCAACATTTTATTTTCTATAAATTCTTTCACATTATACTGCCTGATAATTCATTTCAAGAGACTGTAGCAGGTTTACACTGAGACTGATTATTTTGCACGACAAGTACCAACCATTAATGTGGCAAGCACATAGTCTCACAGAAAAGAGCAAGTCTCCAACATTTCTTAGTTTTTCTCTTTCTCGCTCACACACACACACATTCATACTCAACACTTATAGACACCTGCTGTCAGCTTGATTGTGGGAGCCACTCTCCTTGATGCTGCCAAATGGAACAGCGACACTCTGAGCACATCTGAGCTGTCACTCAGACATACACAGACACCCTGTCTAACACAGCTTGTAAGGTTAAAGGAGGCAAAGCTCATCCATAGATAAACACTTTAAAACTGTATTATCATTACTATATGAACCATTATTATTAAGCATTTCATTCATTTATTTGAATTGTTAGTGTAACATTGAATGAATGAATGAATTACACAGTCTATATTAGACAGTCTATTTATTTCAGGCCTATTTTATTTATTTCAGTATATTGTGTATACACACATATAGACTAAATTATATATAGAATGAATGATGTTCATTCATTCACACACACACACAGTTACACTTTTCACAATAGTTTTAACTTAAAATAAAGAAAATAAAAAATAAAAAGATTGATGGCTTAAGGTAGGCGTGGTTGACTCTTAACTTATATAAAGAATATCTCTTTGGATTTGAGACTTTAGTCTTTGCAACTTTACAGATCTTCTTTATGCACCAAGAGCTTGTAACACTCCAAAGAGAAAGGAAAAATTGAAATCGCATCATATGAGCCCTTTAAGAAACTAATAAATTAGACAAATTTGAATTGTGCAAGATCACCAGACAATTGTATCACTGTACCAATGACAGTAAAAACTTATTTTAAGTAATTAATTTATATAAAAAAATACATATGTGCAGATTAACTTGAACTTCTAATTCAAACACTCTGCAATGATTTGTAACAGCTGTCTGACAAGCGATCAAGAGAAGTAAAACCTTCTTTGTCCAGATAAAAACATAATTTCACACTAATAAATTGAAGGCCCTTGAAGAAAGCAAGGGGTTTATATACCAAATAGTTCAAGTTCAATATTAAAAAAGAACAAAGCAGAGCATTTAAAAGAAACATATGAAGGTGACTATACTACTCCCTTTTGTAAAAAAATAAAAAATAAAATAGCCAAGAGGAAGAAACCGAAATGAACACAGAGCAAGATTTTTTGTAATGCACAATATCTGAACATGTTCGGAAATATAAAAGCGGAGTCAAGAGAAGGCCCAGATGAGCAGAGTTTTTTTTTTCTTCTTCTTCTGCATTTTGGAGGGAATCTGGAGCATTTTACAGAACAGATGCAAACAAGACAATGTGTTAACCTGAACACTCCATAACCAGATGATAAAGAATGGCAATAAAAACAACAGAAAACAAAGGTGTAAATGACAATAATGAATATGCCAGGTCAGAAGATTTGTACAATGCAACAGTAGCCCCTCACTGCAGAACAAAAGATCCAGGAGGCATGGTTGGATCCACATCTAGGGGGTGGAGATTGGTAGGTTTAGG